AGTATGTAAAAACCGTGAAATAAAAAGTATCAAGTGTAATTTGCAAGATTGGTTCACACGATGCCTCGGTATCAACGTTAGATTCAGACCCGCAGCCTACCTTACATGTGTTTTTTTCATAATGCTGACCTAAATTAAATGTTTTACTAAATTAGTTCAATGCACAGTATAGTGTGTAAGAACTGGCTGCTAGAATGAGAAGTTCATACAAATTACAGTTACAAAAACAGTTAATAACAAAAGAAATTTAAAAGAGGTTAAAAAAAGAGAAACATCGGACCTTTAAAGCTTAATGGGAGAAGGGTACRTCGGAACCCCCCAAAGTTGTGTAGCAGTTGCAAAATATCATAATGCTGGACAGGATTAAACCCAATACGTGAAGTCTTTAACACACAGTCACGCCAAGAAACTTTATTTTAAGGAAAACTAGTTGCAAAATAACATCAATTTTAACACCGTAAAAGTAGGTGAAATAAAGATTAAGGTSCGCAAAKTCAGTAAGYTGTTTCACCTACTTTTTTACGGTGTTAAATTTATATTTTTACGCAACTGTTTAGAAACAGTGACGMAGCAGAARTTAGTTTACCGTTTACCATTTTGAATCTCAGAATATTTGTTCTGTTGACGTTCAAAGATTTATTTGGATATTCTGGCTTTTTTAAAGTAAAAAAGTAGGCAAATTAATTATTAATTCAATACACAGACACGTTGTTGCTACGAGAAGAGGTAGTCTTTCTATGCAATGCTCGCTGTTAGCGGATTACTGAGTCGTGCAGACACTGTAGTCAAAACACCGCAATATGCGGTAGATTAGATTGCAGAAAACAAAGGAATTGGTATAATTCATTAAAATTTAGAACTATTCAATTACTATGGGAAAATCTCCCAAAAAAATTTAAAATAAAAAATTGCGTTGTCAAACTTGATATCAGAGTTTGAGTTTCCATAGAAACGATAAACAGTTAACAAAAAACGCAAAAAAAAGGATTTTCCTCAAATTTCAACTTCCATTGTAAAGCTAACATAGCTGGTAATGAAATGCTAATAAATATTATGCGGCATTAGTTATGCTGCGAGCTTTGTGCTATTTTGAAGAAAACTAACTCACTTGATTTTGAAAAACGTAACAGAACACAAAGCAATGGCGGTTCGGGAAAACAGAAGCAGATGAAAATGAAAACTTATATTATATATATTATCATTTTCATGTGCTCTTCAAGATGATTTAGGTAACTTGTCGAAGTTATAACTCGAACCCAGACTCCTACACGGACATGAAATCTGGCAATGGTGATTAGCCAAGCTGTTGTTATTTTTGTTCTATTGACTCTATTTTCAGGGGGGGCACTATTATAKACTTTAATGACTTCAAAAATATAGACAAAAAAGAAATCTATTGGTAAATTTGAAATATACACTTTTGTTTTATGTACAAAGCTGGGCCCCCGGCTCCGCCRCCCCAGATTTTTCAAATAAAGAAATTCACTTCATAAGCACTTTAACTTAAATAAGACAAGTTTTATAATATGTACTCAAACGAACAGCACTCATATTAAAGGCAAAGACAAAGGAAAATCGAAACCCGATTTGAGATCCTAGATCCGGCAATGGAAAACTTACATCTTTTCGTTGCTTCTTGCTAGCGACGCTGCACAAGACGAGGGTCGTTTCCAGGAATTCTCATTGGGGGCTCCTTATGCACAAACCTATCAATATGACACCACAAAACGTTTATATTGTTAATTTTCTTTTCCTTTTTTTTTCCTTTCGTTTTTTTTCTATTCTATTCTTTTCTGTCATTTTCTTTTCTTTTTAATGTCTCATGCAAAAACTCATCAATATGACACCACAAAATGATTAAATTGTTTCTTTTCTTTTTTTCCCTTTTCTGTTTTCTTTTCCTTTCCTTTTTTTTTTCATGTTCTTTTCTTTTTAACGTTTTGCTTTTGCAACCTTAACCCTATCCCCCCCTTCTCCCTCTAAACTGCCTGTGGTTATTTAGTTGAAAAATAAAGAAAACTTAATAAATTTTGCAGGAATTGCCAACAGAGCAGTCTGAATGGCATCTACAGATACCACCATCATCTCGCAAATTCATACCATTGGATTACCCGAATAACACCGATTATGTTGTGGTAAGTCTTAAAGGGTTACTTGGACGAAAATTGCAAAACATTAGAAAAGACTGGGAAACCAAATAAACCTATCCATATGGCCATATGCCCATGGGTCTAATAATCATGAAGCAACAGATTTCAACAAGATATTGATACAAATCCTTTAAAATATTTTGGGCAAAAAATGTTGGAGTAGATGACGTCATTTTTGCCCAAAATATTAAGGATCCTTTTGTTCTTCCATCTTTTGAATCAAAATTTCTCTTATATGGGATAACTCCAAAACAAATATTTTCCCGCAATTGTTTTTAATAGATAAAATGAGTCATATATTTGTATTGCTTGAAGTTTTGAAATAAGACCACTTTCATGCAAGTAGCACTTCAAAAGCCCATTCCTAACTACTGTATCACACGCGCACTACTTCGCACAATTTTTGACTAGCGAAAGCTCAAGTATGTTAACGTCCGTCCATCGAAGGAAAGTATACTTTTTCAGTGTTTTAAAGCAAAAACCCAATGAAAATTAGTGAAACTTTGAGGATTTATAGACAATCATAATAGAAATAACCAAGTATTTTCTTGAGTCACGTGGTCACGTGGGACCAATCGGTTGTTGTAACCCTTTGTTTCTATTGAATTACGTAGTCTGTGCTCCGATACACGAAGTAAAAGCCCTATTTTCCCTAGGTTCCAGACGCGGATTTTGATGGATTTGGAGACTATACGTTTTTCGACACAATTCAAGATCTTACCTTGGCGACGCAACGATGTGACAACATGAAGGACTTGTGCAAGGCCCTCAGTATTAACAYGAATTACAAGATAACGGTCGCATTTGTTAAGAGTCAAATAGGAGTCCCGCAAGTGTCCAAACAAAGTCTTTTTATCAAAAGAATCTATTTGGACTCTTATTTGAAAGGTATGCCTATGAGAAAATTATATTGCGGGGGTAAAAAACCCAAAAATTAAAAAAAAGAAAGAAAGAAAAAAAAAACAGTAGAGAAAGACGGTGAATTAAAAAAAAAACGTTTGATGAGAATCAGTCATTCCATAATCACTCCTAATGGCGGAAACTAGCGGTAAACTAGTGTGAGCTGCGTCGGTGTTTCTAAAGAAACAGTTGTGTAAAACGATACATTTAACACTGTAAAAAATGTGAAACAACTTATGAAGGATTAACGTCCGAAACGTCAGTAAGTTGTTTGACCTTCTTTTTTACGGTGTTAAATTTATCTTTTTTACATAATCACTACTAGATATCAAGCATGCTTCACGCCCATGCCCCCGTTTGGTTTTATACGGACAACCAACAGCCGACTTTAGATATATTGGTATAATGGCAATGCACAACAGAATTATAGACGAGGCTCCGGGGAAATAAAABAATAAATCAAGATTATCCAATGTTTTCCCGGAGCCTTTTATGCAATTTTCTTGTGCGTGGTTAATTAGCCATCTTGTACAACAAATCATGATTCGAGTTGTAGTCACCGCGCTTTTTTATGCCCGCTGACACAGCCCTTCTAGGCCGTTTTCACTTTTTATTTCTAAAAAGAGAATCAGATTTGCCGTTACAACCTTTTAAAGTGCGCGATTTTTTTGCAGTGTTTACCAAACCAAATCGCGTCTCTGTACATTGTCTGATAATCATTTAACTTATTCTTTATATAGCTCTTTCACTCAATCTAATGTGTGTGAAAACCAATCTTACTGTGACTACCRACAAAATCTGTAAGCTACCGAAAATAGATCCATGGGCCAAGGAAATCATCCACATTGTTCCAACCCTACCACCGAGGAAATGCGACGAAAATGAGGTTTATACAGAATTGATCAATAAACAGCTACGCCTGCGAGACGTCAGAAGACACGGTAATTACTGGATTATTAATTGTTCATTATGAC